CATATTTATTGTTTTAATGAGTTGTGAGCCACCCAGAGTCCCCCATTAGGGGGAGATGGGCAGGGATAAAATGAATGAATGAATGCTCATCAGACTAGGTCTGTCTAATCCAGCCTAAAATCTGTTATGAACATTAACTATGGACAACAGGAAAAAAATCATATTTTAAATTATTATGACTTGTCATACAACGTACTTTATTTTAAAAAATTGATACTGATATGATACAATGGGGGTTTATGCTATGTTGATTCCCATAGCATAACTGAGCTTCTAATAGTGCAGTTTATATTTTTTGATCAAGTAAATTAGTACATACCATTAAAACTTAGAGGATATTGTAGCTTCATAAGAGCAACATCATTATTTTTGGAAGCTGAATCATAGTTGGGATGAGAAATTATTCTGGCTACTCTAAATCCCTTTGAAGGAATCATTTCTGACTGTCTCAGAATCCCAGCATAAACTGTCCAGTAGGATGGATCAGAATGTGCCCTAAAAAACAGAATACAGACTAGTGGTTATTCAGTCAGCATCTTATTGCCTTATCAGTAACAAATGCCAAGCTATCAAGAACTTAATATATCCAGGTTAGAATCTGAAATATAGATAACTGAGAACCATGTTGAACTTCCTGAAAATTAAAGCTTTTGAAGAATATGGATAACTCATGATGAGAAGAAGGGAGACAGTAGCATAAAACAAAAGGGAGTATTTAAATAAAAGGGGATATGATATGATTTTACAGATATTTTCTAACAAGCATCATCCATTCTATTTCAGTAGAATTAGGCAAGTAATGTATATGTCCTTCATTCAAAATTGAAAAACAATTTCATCCAGACATCAAAGGGTGTGAAACAAGGCTATATTTTAGCCCCATATATTCTCTGATTAAACTTTCCAAAGAGTCAACACCATGCGTCCAGCCTAGATGGCAGACACCTCCCAATTCTAATTTATATGGAGAATGCAGTTCTTCTCTCCCTGGCATCCTACTGTAAAGAGGAACAATTAGTCTTCATTATGATAAATCCAAACTTTTAGTTTTCTCTAATAAAAGGCAAAAGCACAAGTGAATAATTGACTCTGATGAACTAGAGCAAGTTAAAAATTTTAAATATTTGGGCATAGTCTTTCAGGCTTCTAGGAAATTAAAGCTCATGTTATTTCTGTCACTTCTACTGCCCAGAGAAGTGCTATAGCTATAACCAAATGCTATAGACAACAAGGGGAAAATTACATTCTACCAGCAATTAAACTAAACCGTTCCTGGATTTTATTGTCAAATATTAGAGTGCCACAAGCCCTCTACTGCAATCTATACAATCTAACACAATCTAATCCTGAGTAGATTTTTTTTTCTGGAGCCCATTTTAATGCTTCCCCTTCCACACTATCAGTGGATAAATGTCAGAGACTTTGCCTTTGTGACTCTGGGAGATAGAAACTCTTGCCCACATATTCTTACAGTGTCCCTTATATGATATCCTGAGATGCACTTTGCTCTTCCCAATTATTTCCAAATTTCAGGGTCATAAAGATAAATGTTATGTTCAATATCTTTTAAGGACTGTTAACTCTTCGCTCACATTCCAAGCTGCCAAATACATTTACTGAGCTATTCAACTGTATAAGTTGTCCTATTGTAGGAATTTCTTTTATTTTCTACTTTGTAATGCTGGTCAAAGGCCATAATAAAGAAATTTCAATTTCAATTGAAAACCATAAAAGCAGCTAATTGAAGTTGCAAGAGAAGTGTAAAATCATGTTATATATTTTTTTCTTTTCTTTTTCTTTTCTTTTGCAGAATAGTGTTGAAATAATTTTTAAAAAAAATGTTCTGAAAGAAATTGTTTAGAACTTACCCTTCTACACAATGAGCTGCTGTTACTATCCATTCAGGGGTAATAATAGACCCTCCACAGAGATGAGTCCTCTGGATATGAAGGCTGACTTGCCACGGCCATTCTCCACGCAATGCAGCATTTCCACCCACAATTCTGTTTTGGGGACTTGTACGTATATTTGATGTGCCACACCCTTGTAAAACGTAATTAAGAAAAACATTAAAATGATCTTCAGAGGTTGTTCCAGATACTAATTCCTGCTTTCCCTATGCCTGTTTTGTATCAACAAAAATGTTCATATTCATATTCTATCTTTCTTTGGAAGAATACAGTGGACATTGATTGTCCCATTTTAAAAATACAATTACAGTGCCTTTAGTCAGATTACACATGGCTGCTTTCTATCTCAGTTCATTATAAAAGCAAGTATCTTCATTTCAGAAGCGGCTAGAAGAACAAACAGCTAGTAGTTCTTTATTCAAGGGAACTATGGCTTCATACTGAGGCTATAAAAATGAAATCCCAGAATCCCCAAGTGAACTAGCATAAATGCATTTTGCCTAAATTTCAACCCAAATCTGTATAATTTACAATTACAAATTAATTTTTTTTCAAGTTAGTCACAACAAAAACAACATCTATCCAAGTAAAACACATATAATTTAAAAATTTAAGTATTATTATAGTACTTACTTATGCATCGCAGAGATACTGCATGCTCTGATGGACACCAGTTGCTGTAACATAAAAAAACCAAATCAAATTTAAAAATATGAACATAATGAATATATATTCATTTAGGCTTTTTATGTTTGCCCTCAATAGAATGGGAACCATTTCATGTAATCTTATTCTACACTTACACACACAGTAAGTAATAAAACAAGATTTGTAATAATGCCAAACAGTGTATAAATGTAGTTAATAAATAAACGTGAGCATAGATAAATATATAATTCTTCCCACCCAATCAGAAGATTCCTTCCTGGCAGGGTATCAGTTGCACAGAAATACATCCAATCAGCCCACCTATGGATTTGCATTATAAACACTCAAGTCCTATTCTATGAGTTCAAATATATATGTAGATTCCAATATCATGGGCGTAAGCATAAAGGGGGCATCAGGATTGATTTCATTCACAGGAATTTATCTCCACTTCCATTTTGGAATTCTAGACATCTTATTTCCTTGCAAATCTCTTTTCTGCTACCTCATCATAGCCAGTACTTCTTTACTAGTGGACTTTTAGGCACACACAGTTATCCCTAGAACTAGTGGATAAATAATTAATCTTCAAATGGTCTAAGAAAATCTCCAGATTAGTATAGTGAATCTTTGTACGTTAAAAAAGAGTGTTTCATTTGCAAGGACTATGTTTTAAAACCGTCTCCACATAGCAGCAATTGTATTTGAGCTCTAGCAATGCTGAAGTACAATGCCATTGCGATATGTTAATACTTAGCAGCAAAATTAAAATTAAAAGACGCTTGCTCCTTGGGAGCATGAAACTGAGCAAACTCAGGGAGGCAGTGAAGGACAGGAAGGCTTGGCACGATAGGGTTCATGGGGTCACAAAGAGTCGGACATGACTTAACGACTGAACAACAACAACAACACTTAGCAGCAATACTTTAGACTACCATGCACATAAAACAGATATATGCACATACACACACTGTGCAAAGGGCACTTCACACGGACACAGGTAAGCAAAGCACCCCTCTGAAATGCTTCTGCAAAGCAGACCCTGCTTTTAATCAACAAAGTGGAGCGAGCTTCCCACTTCACTGGCTTTTGTGCGTGCCTAGTAAATGGGCAGAAGTCTCTCTTTATAAGGCAAAGGAGCTCCATCCAATTCCTTGTCAAGGTGGAACAGTAGAATCCTGCAAGGTGAAGTGTTTTATGAGGCAGATTGCCCATAATGAACTCATCAAGGGCAGAGACAAACATTTATATATATATATACAGTATATGTACCTATATGTATAAAAAATATAGAAATCCACACCTGTTATACAATTTCTTATACAGGTCTATGTCCCCAGCACTAGTATTGACCCTCAAAATGTTTGCAGATCCACTGGAAATGGGGATTGCTTTGCTGTTGAAATAGGTGTTCCTGCCAAAAATATAACAATCAGTTAAATATGTCAAATCCCACCCAAATCCCTTCTATTTCAACAAAAAGAGATTCAACTTTAGTCAGAAATTAGATTAACTATGCTGTTAATAGTTCATTTTTCCCACGCTTTAACTATTACACAAAAGTTTTGGCTGTGTTTGGGATAATTCGGTATTATGCTTCTGGAATCACACTTCCTCAATATAAGCAAAAGTGACAGAAATCTCTATTTGCAGCATTTGAATCCAACACTGTAAACTTTCTGAAAGATTTTATGTACTTTATCAAAATTAAATTTTGATTCTTTCAGCCAGCATTGTCACTACTTGAGTGTAGAAACTTTGCTCAGTGGCTGAACAAAACTACTTTTTCCTCTGCGATATCTGGAAATAAATTCGTAAGCTCCTCCAACTTAGACTAAAGTACTCATAGTATCAAATATGGTTAGGGAGTTCTACCCAAAAATAATCTACTTCAAAATTTCACCATACAGAAGTCAGTGTATGAGGCCCAATGTCAGCTACCAGTGCCCTACCCTGATACAATTTCTTCTCTGCTCCTTAGCAACTGGTACCACAACTCTTATTCCAGATCCTTCTCGGATCTCTGCCACTTTCCATGGCTTAAAGGACAGGATGAAGCTAATAGGACCCTGACTCTTTGGGGTTAAAGCAATAAGACAATGAACAAGAGTCTAAACCAACACAATAATTTAAGCTGGGGGCAGGGAACAGATACATCTGATAATCTTTTAATTGCATTCAGCTAAGCAATTTATTCTCTGTATATTACTGCAAAAGAATAAAGAAAATTCAGTATATTACTTACGAGTTATATCCCAAGTCTTCACATGCGGTCTCTCCATATTTATCATTCCAATCATCATAGCATATAGAGTACCAATCTTTGTTTTCAGATAAATAGACTTCCAAGAGAAATTCTGGTCCATAAAGTCTAACTACAATAATAAAAATGCATTAATGATAATGATGTTGATGTTTTTGAAAGTTTTAGAACATAGGAAGCTGATATATAAAATAATTTAGTTTCCACATATCCAAAGAGTTATTCATTCAGACAAGCACAAACGCACTGCAGCAAACCAGAACACCAGAAAAAGGAGACAAACCACCTATACATTTCCAACAAAATGGATACCCACACAACACTATCAAAAAGTGTCTGACCACTCAATCCACTACAGCACAACCAACACAAACTATGAAAAGAATAACACTGCCATACATCAAAAATGTCTCAGAAACAACCAACAGACTATTACAACCACATGGCATCACTGCAGCACACAAACCAACTAAAGCCCTTCAAAACATCTTAAGTAAACCAAAAGATCCAGTAGCCCAAGAAGAAAAAACAGGAGTGATCTACAACATACAGTGTAAGGACTGTAACAGCTACTCTGCTAGGCAGAAGACAAATAGTCTCCCATATATAGACTTATTATTCATATCAGCCCACCAAACTATTTGTTCAAGTAATGACAAATTAGATATATCTAAATATCTAAAAATCCCCAATAATCAAATTCCCATTGTCTAAACGCAACATTTACCAAAATTGGCTTTCAGGGATCACAGGTTTTTCATTCATACTGTGCAACAATTACTGATTATCATTTACTCTACCAATCAACAAAAACATGAACAAATGTTTTAAATTTTTGCCATTTAGTCAGAAAACAACTACTGGTTGTTTTTGGGTGACTCTTGGTTGAATTTTCTGTGATTGACAAGTGATTACTTAACATCAACAGAGAACTTGCTTTGTCTTTGTCAGATGGAACTAATCCACAAAAAATTACGCCACAGTAACTATATTGATCTAAGGTGCCATAACCCTTCAGTTTTATTGCTATATGCCATCACAATTTTCCTTCTGGAAATTACCATTCTACTGCAGAGTTTTTGCACTTCTCTGAAACATACATAAACATCTTTATAGCCTCTAATGTATTCATACAATTACTGTGCAAAGGTGCTATAACTGGAAATAGGTATCAGCTTATTATTGGCTGACAATATGGCCAAACTATATTTTCCTATATTTGTAGGTTTTCCACAGCTAATCCTGCAGATTCTGGATAGGGTGAGGAATCAGGTTGAGATAAGCTATACTACTGTAAAGTTTCTTGAAAGACACCAATAGCTGCTATCCATGAGATTAGGCTGATTGCAGCATTAACTCACTAGATATAATTAAAGTGTGATGAGGGTGATTAAAGTGTGTGAGGGTGAAGGGGGCAAATTTATAGGCAAATTTTCAAGGTCAGAAAGTGTCATTATTCAGTCTTACCACAACGGTTTTCATCTTCACCATTAGGACAATCTTTTTTTCCATCACACCACTGAGATGGTGTTACACACACTCTTGTTGCACCACATTGTATCTTGGAGCCAAAACAACTATCTATCACTATGAAGAAATATAGGAATATAATGAGATCACAAAAATAAGCTACCAAAGGCACTATTTTAAATGTATATTCTGTTTTATGGATTATCGTACAAACAGTAATTTAAGCACATTCATCATGATGTCTAGTATTGTCAATTCCTTTGGATTTTAGATGAGATCTTAAAGCAATAAAACAAGAAGGTTATGGAAGTTTTCCAGTCATCTGAAATTTTATGTAAATGTTAATGGTTCTAAACCACACATTGATCGTTATTATCAGAAATGGAAGGACTAATTAACTTTTATGTTAAATAATTTCACCAAAAGTGCTATTATAGTGCCATCAGAATTAAATTGTTTCTAACTTCAAAATCAATAAAGCAAGGAAGGACAGTGTAATGGCATAAAAAACTAAAAGCCACCACCCTACAATTTAAGCAGAAGGACATAATTAGTGAGTGGAACGGCCACATCAAAATATTGCATAATTAACACTTTTATGCATTCTTACCAAAATACCAGATGAGAAAAACAGAAATTCCAGCTCCTATTATTAGTATTGCAATTGATAGAAGGAGACACAATGCCTTTTTGGTTCCTGCAATTAAAGAGAAAAAAAAAATAAGTGTCCATGTAATTTTAAAGGAAGTTTGTTTCAAATGATGCCATCAGTTTATTAAATATCTTTAACTAATAATGGAGTTAATTCCTATTATTAACTGAATATGAACACGTTTTGATATAACTTGAGAATGATTCCCCAAATTGTGCTTCCGTATTATTACTTGCCACGCTAACCATGGCAGCTGATCTCTAATGAACCTGACAAACCTCAGCCTTCTTTCCAACACTGATGTCCATTTACTGATCTTTTTGTGAGTCACTCTGGGAGACTTCAAATGAAGAACAGATAAAAATGCTATGAACAAACTGTTGGTTTAGATCTTTGGCCAGCTCCCATCGAAACCTCCGCATTATACCACTTAAAAAATGTCTGTTCTCCTAGCTATATTGGAAAAATAAACTATAACATGAAGCATACATGCTAATCTTTGTTTCATGGAAAGTACCATTGTTTTATTTTGCACCAAAGAAACTGAATAAGCCAAAATACTTTGCTTAGATTACTTTACTATAAGCCCAGCCAAAATAGCAAGCACATTCTCTACAGCCACAGTGCACAGAACTCACACACAAGGTCTTTTTGGAACTTAAAATGGAAAATCTACCCCATAAGTATTTATTTTCCTTTTTAGCAGTAAAATAAATTACTTAAATATGCATTATTTATTAAATGTCTTTTTATGACACCAAAAATCTGCTACCTAGCCAGGGCAATTTGAAGGTCAGAAGTGAGGGTCCCAAACTCATAAATTACTTACTTTGTACAGTTGCAACAGTAGAATCATAATCAGGTAAAACATGTTGGAAACATATAAATTAACCAAAGAATTCTTAAAACATAGCTAAATAGGTCTAATTTGCATCAAAACATTTTTAAAAAAATAAATGGGAAGCAAAGCTTACTTGGTGTGCATTTTGCAGATTTGGCCTGCACTACTGGCACTGGAATTGACTGTTGAGTAGAAACTCTCGGAACATAATGAGGCCCTGATGAAGGATAATATGTAGGCGTGTTATGTAGATACACATTATAGTCTCTGGGAAATCTTGGAGGAGCAACATTTTCTGCCTGGTAGGCATAGTTTTCATAATATGGAGCTGGCCTCTAAACAACCACAACAAAAATACAAAAATGGAAAATAATATAGGCAGCAGTTGAAGGTGAAAGCTTCTATAACCCAACAATAGTACAGTGAAGTATAACTATCTAAAGATAAAAACCAGAAGTCCACAAGCTCTGGATTGCAAAAGTGTTTGCTTTTTAATAAAATGAAAAGGCGCTACCAGATTCCTTCTGGTTGTCAGCTACCACAGACTAACACAGCACTCCTCCACCAGCAACTAGCTAGCACTTGGAAAAACTTTTCCCACACACAGGAATATTTTTACCAACCACCCTATACTGTAATAGCATACGTTTGAGACAACTCACTTACCAAGTTAGATGCCATCTTGATTTTCAGCAACTGAATTATGGCAAGTTTGTTATAAACCTATGAAAATAGAAAAAGGTTTTCTACTTTTGTTTTTATTACAAAATAAAATTTCAAATTATTGAGCCCTTATTTTAGTGAGGCTATGTATCACATTCCAGCATACACACAAAAGTAAACAAATACATGGTCACTGGAAAATTATTATTTCTCTAAAAGCTCAAGTGCCTACAATTCTGGATTACATTTCATTCCCATAGCAGACTCTTATCTATGATCAAGCAAAACAGGGAACATTTATTATTTTGCTTATGGTGTATGTATACCACCCATAACAAAGATATTAGGTTGGCTCCTAATAAAATTTAGACATTAAAAATTTAAATGGCAATAAAATAGAAATACAGCAGTTATAAAAAAAAGCAAAGAGCGATTTAAAGAATGGAAAAAATAAAGCATTAACTAGCATTAAGGAAAAGAAAACACATCAGCCTCCCTGAGGGAGATCCCCATGGGAAAAAAGTTCTCAGAATATGTCAGAGAACAATGGTGTAATTAAATACTGTACATGCTTGCAACTGAGTAATTAATTCTGGAGATTAAGCCTTGGCAAAACTGATCAGAAAAGCAGACACAAGACTAAGATATTTTGTTATTAGCATTTGTGTTTAATCTAAACATAGAAATTACTATTTTAAATTGTGAATAATTGGAATGATCAGTGATGGTGGGTGAACACTCTTTTTCCTCTTGTAGGGTATGCACTAAAATTGAAGGAGGCCCCTTTTTCTACCCTATCAGCCCTTACCCACAAGTGTACTTCTACAACTTCATTAAGCAGCTGAAGCACCAACACCTTACCTGAGCAACATTTAGCAAACTTTCTGTTACAAAATCTGATTATAAAATGTAAGTTATCCATTGTTATATTTTTTCAAGTTTTTGTGCAGTTGTTTCTTGTTTGTCTCGTTTTTTCCTGTTTATTAAATAAAGTCTAAATCAATCAATCAGCCATGTATGTATTAACAAGAAGCCATAAACATAAAAGTGTAACAACATGACAGACACAACTGGTAATAGTATGACCCCAAAACGCAGCCAAAGAAGTTTCTGCATGAGTATTCCTTATTAACCTTGGAAGCCCTCCTTAACTATTGTACATATATCTTGAAACTTCTAAACATTTCATTATAATAGATAAATATAACTTGATGTTGCTTCATTTACACAACTAAAATTCCAAAATGCCTGAATTCTATTAGCAGTTAATGACATTTGAGTGTATTTTCTTGTGCTTCCAAATGTGTGTTGATGCTTTTATGGCTGTCATTTACTTAGGCAAATTGGGTGATAATTTTTATTACTTATGTTTGTCAACAGATTCCCCAAGGCCAGCAATTTCTTCAAAGCAGATACCCTGAAGGGGCACTATATTTCAATTTTCAAATAAGCAGCAGCCCAAAACTATCCCAAACCACAGTTATTTCTGATGCTGCTTTATATGATTGCTAGTCATACCCCTTCTTCAAGCACCAATCAGGAGGCAGCTATTTTCCCAATATTACAACTTAGTCATTTCAAGATGGAGGTGTAGGTGGAATTTCTAAGTTTGAAGGTTCAAGCCCTGGATATTTTGGGGTCATTTTTCTTCCCAGCCAGGTCTGGGAGTGGGGTGGGGGGAGCTGAGGGGCATCAGGTTCAGAAACAATAATTGCTTAGGGGAGAAACAGGAGAGAATAATGTAGTCAGTTGTAATGACTATTCAACAAAGGCAAATGAAACAAGCAAATATGGCAGAAACCAAAAGAATCCAGAAAATACAGTGGAAGATGCTGTTTACTGGTGTTGGTACATGAACGCTAGGAGCCTGTGGGCCGAAATGAGTGAACTGGAATGCCTGCATATAATATTTCTATACATTGTATTACTCTTTCATGACACCCTGTAACTACAGGCAAGACAAATGACATTTTTTAAAAAAATTCTAATAAAAATGCTTAGAAAATAAACATGTTTGTAAATCTATCAGTTTTTCCTTTCTTATAAATGCATTTTCCACATTATTTTGTGCACTTTTTCTCAAGTTTCTTCAATCAGAAAACTCAGAGTGATATAGTAGGAGTTTCCAAGGGTCTTTGTCATGTCTCCACAGACCATGTCCTGGTAATTCACAAATAATCTGCATGCTGAAAACCAGATCTTTCTAGATACTTTTCTTTTGAGTCAGGCACATGTATTCAGGTCAGTAATTTACAGCTTTAACTATACAACTGGAATTTTAAGAACATACAAGGAAGTAGCAATCAAAACCAACCCAGTGAAATGATTGACACAAGCAGCATATGTCTGAAGGAAAAATCAAAATAGAGTACTAATTCAACATCTCTAGTGTTACTCAGATACACATCAGGTAATTATTTTAAAGTTATGTGATGAAGTTCACTGACCATACAGTTTCCAAGGGCTAATGTTAGTAACCAGGATAATTCCAGGTAGAGATTTACTGATCTGGTCTGTAATTTATGTACATAGTATACTGTTTTTTCCTAGTGAACTTTCCTCAGCATACCTTTTTTCCTTAGGCAGTTCTCCCTCCTTTTTCAAAAATTCTTTCCAACTCAAAGGAGCATTGGAAAGACATTATGGAAAGGGACTCAGAATCCTGCCACCTGTCTATCAGCAGGGTAACTCTCCAAACATCCAACAGAACAGGGACAAATTTGATATGGTACAAAAAGCCAGCAAAAGAAAGATCAAGTTTGAAAAGGAGCTGTATCTCATTATGGGCTGTGGAGGAAAAAATCCCCTCAAATCCCCTTTACCCATCTCTATGGGACAGCAAGTGGGCAGTCACTTGGAATGCTACCAGTTCCTTCATTTGAAGTGCCCTCCTTCTCCCTCACAGTCACATGGCTCAGAGCTGGGAGTATGTAGTCCATCCTGTACTTCCCACATACGCACAAGCAGATACACAGAGCAGACACAGACACGGAGATGCAACACGTTACTTTGATGCACAGAAAACACAGATGCCTCCTACAGCTATTGCTGGTAAAAAAAGCCATGCTCTGCATTTTTCCCTCCATTTGATTAAATGTATTAATGTATTTCCCTCCATTTGACAAATAAGTATTTTGAACCAGGCGCTAACAGAGAAGAAACCATGTGTTACATGGCTATTCATGCTGTAATAGATTCTATTTGGGTGGATCATGCCATATCATATGAAAAGAAATCTTTTATAACACTAATTCTAGTAGTGCTGTCCTAAGCCTTAGACTACAACACTCAAAGCTACCTTTGAAGAATTTCTGACATATCAGCACTGCCTCAGATTAATAAAACTGGTTAAATCGTTGTCAGCCCTTGCAGCAGTTCAAGTCAAGAAACAGATAGGATTACAGGCATCCTCATTTACTGTTGTAGGGTATAACAACAGTATCTTGAAAACCTGTCCAAGTTTCTCTCTGCCCATTTTCTCATGACTGAATTGTCTTTTTTCCTGATGAATGGCTCACCCATTCCTTTCTCAAAGCTGTCTCTACATTACTTTACTATTGTCTACATATTTCATTTTGGGTGAGGGGAACAATTTACCTTGGACTATACAGCTTCCCGTAGCATGGGGAAAGCACACATTCCTGCTAAATAACAGTACAGAAATCATTTTCACATTTTAAAACAGGTTTCCATAGTTCAATACCCAAATATATGCTTTGCACCAAGAGGTATGAGGCCTCTTCAGAACTTAGGCTCAAACCCAAATACCTGCAGGAAGGAAAAGACTCAGGATAAACAGTATAAGGGTAAAGCAATAGTTTCACTAGCCTAAAGCACCTTTCACTGTGTTTCACTTTGTTTCCAGAGATGGAACTACTGTATGTTTTATCTTTTACCACTAAAACAAAAAAATCATGTTTAAGACTAAAAGCTGTGCCACATGGCAGAATAAGATGCTGTCATCCAGTGCAGGTATGTTGCAGCCAGGTGCCCCATGGTAAAGCTGCGTAGACAATGCGGCAGCACTGTGGTGATGCCATGGAGAAGTCTCCTGTGGGACTGCCAGCCAAATAGCCACAGCAGTTCCACACTTATGCTCCAGAGGCAGCTCTTCCACAGGGCTGCTGGCTGCAGACACACAGACATGTCCAGCAATCTCCCCAGTGACCTCAGAGCTGCTGTGCCAAAGCTGTGGGGGACAGGCAGCTGTACTACCCCCCACTTCAGTGCTCCAGCACCAAAGCCTTTGGGAAATTCTTGCAACGTGTCCAGCTGTTTTCTGGATAATCAACAGACACATGTATAAAAAGCCCCTCCCCCCCATCGGCAGATGCTGCCTGAACCATAAAAGTGGGCAGGTGCTGGCTGAAGACATGCTTCTACTGCACTCCTCTTCTCCTGTAGCAATGGAAGTGGAAAAAGCAGATTTTCAGCAGTCCATGGGGAGAAGTGGGTCTTTTGGGGTCCTGAGAACTGGAATTAAAAAGATTTGATTCTCCTATTTCTCTCTCTTGTCCTCCTCTGCCACTGATGACAGAGAAGGTAGGGAGGACAGCTCTGTTATTGCAGGTTCTCTGATAGCTTAAACACATCACTCTGTGGGAATGAAATCCTGATTGCAGAAAATCCATTTTCCCCACCTTATTCCATGGTGGGAATGGGTTTTTTAGATGCCACTTCTCACATGGATTGGCGGGAGAAACGGGAGAGATGACTTTTGGGCATGGTGGGAAGGCCCTGACTTTTATGCTGCCAAAAGGCAAATGGCCTTGAAAATCAGTGGCCAGGAATGGGGGAGGAGGCATCCCCCCCTCTTTTCTTACATCAGTAGGCCACATTTCAGATGGTATAACTCATGCTGAGAGAACCTTAAGAACACCACTTTTGAAAGATGGACAGAAGATCCCTATGCAGTGGGCAAGTTGTGAAGTTGCACATTCATATACTCAATAAATGCTTTTAAATATTTTAAAATGTTTTAATAGGTTGACTTTGCATGACAGCAAATAGGACATATGAATGATCCTTTACTTTATGACTAACAAATTATCCAACCTTTT